GCGGCCACTGCACTCCAGTCTGGGCGACAGAATGAGACTCCAACCCAAAAAAAACAAAAAAAAAAAGAACTGCTTTTCAGTCAATGAGAAGTGTTACTTTAAAAATGCGTAAAACCGAGTTTGCATTCAGTTTCAAAGTAACTGTTAAGTAGTTTGAGTACTCTATAAAAATGATATAACAAGGAAGAATATTTTGTTTTCTGTTCTGCTTTAATGGTTCACTTACAGTTTAGTGGGAAGATAACTTGGAGAATCATCTTTGCTTCGAATAAGATCATTACATTTATCGATTGTCTCATAAACAGAGAATGTGTCTCCAATACTATAAAGTATTGCTAGACTCTTAGAAAGGAGTTTGCGGGTAGGAGGCCCTGGGGAGCTGTTCAACAAAGACAGGAGCTGTTCAACAAGAGTCTTCTGTTTCTCTCTTACATCACTCTAGAGAGACAGGTAGAAAAAAAGACAATTCAAAGTCAACATTATATGTAATCTTCCAACATAATTTTTCTTTCAGATATTCAAAAACTAACTAAAACAGCTCTAGGAAAATACAAAATTATCTTGACTAAAAGTTACAAGTAAGTTAGAGGCATGGCCACCACACCACACTAACAGGTAGTTTTTTTGCCCTACTAATATATCCTCCCACTCAAACTCTAAATCACATTATACCATAGTCTCTATTAACAAAGACAAGGACTCTATTTATTCTAAATCTTTCTTCTTTTGTTTGAAAGGCAGAGCAAATTTGTGTTATTATTATTTTAAGCAGAGACAGGGTCTCACTATGTTGCCCAGGCTGGAGAATAGTGACTATTCACAGAGGTGATCACAGCAGTATACGACAGCCTCGAACCTCTGGGCTCAAACTAACCGCCTGCCTTCTGAGTAACTAGGCTTACACTCATGTACCACCGAGACCAAATTTGTATTTTCAAGTCTACCTTCCCATATATACCTGTGTAAATAAACCAGTAACCTATAATCTATAACCAGAGATGACCTTGTAATGGTTGTTTTATTCAGAACTTCTTCTAAGTTTAGTGCAATTTTCTTTTTGAAAGCTTATACATATATGTGTTAACCAAGTTACTTAATTTTCCTTGCCTATTACCTGATAATAGTACAGAATATCATTATGAAGCTAATGATATTCAGGTGCTCACTGAATATAAAAAAATGTTTGTTAGTATACAGAACCTTGTCTTTTGCTAATTTTTTTCCTCAAATCTAGAAGTTGCTTTTTTTCCCCCTCTTAAGATCAGTAAACTTTTGTCAAGTATTTTGATAACCAGAGTCAAATAGCTCCATGTTGTCTCAGAACAAGAATGTTTTAGAATGTTGGGGTTTTTTTTTTGTTTTTTTATAATCAATATTTTTTATTATGATGTTGTGGGGTACAGTTAAGGGTTAGGTATACAAATACGTTTCATTCAGGCACCCTCTTGATAAGAGGTTGTTTTTTGTTTTTTTAGAGTTGAGTCTCACTCTGTCGCCTAGGCTGAAGTGCAGTGGCACGCTCCCAGTCACTACAGCCTCGACCTGCTGGGCTCTGGTGATCCTTCTGTCTCAGCCTTCCTAGTAGCTGGAACTACAGGTGCACACTACCACGCCAGGCTAATTTTTGGTTTATTGGAGAGATGAGGTCTTGCCAAGTTGCCTGGGTGGGTCTTGAACCCGCGGGCTCAGACAATCCAC